TGGTTTAATTTTACACCCAAAATAGAAGTTCTAATAATCTAGTGATGCAAGGCTAAATGCATTTTTGAGTTGATATATCAGCACAGAAAAACAATACAACCAAAATCACTACTAGATTTGTGCTCTTATTAAATTTATTTTAAAAATTTATAATATTGTTACTTTTTTAATTTTAAATTGAAAATCCCAATTTTAGCAAAATCAGATTGAAGAAAAAGACAAGTATGAATCTGAAATCGATTTAATAGAGCATAAATTCCATACTTGTTTAATAGTTTTCCGCGGTCGTGAAATTCGGGGGCAGCGGCGATGGAACCTTGTGGTAGCGGCGGCAAAAGCTGGTGGTGGCGGCGAAGGAGAAATCTGGTGGAGGTAGCGTCTCTCCGTCGCGGTGGTGTCAGCTTATCTCCGCCGCTGTGGTCGCAACTTATCCCCGCCGCAGTGGTGGTGCCCATCTTGCCGTCGTTGAAGGATGAAAACGATGGCAAAATCACCGGCCGTTCGCAGGAGGAGGTAAAGAACTGTGGAAGAGAGATGGAGGGTTAGGGCACAAAGTTTAAGTATTGAAGATAAATTTCGCCATTTGCAAATTTTATCCGTATTCTAAATTATAATTCAAATCCTTAAGACGAAAACCAATAAACGTCGCAAAATAATTTGAAAATTATTAATTATTTTAAACAATTGCGACAAAAACAATTATATGTCGCAAATATTTATTTAAAAAACTAATTGCGTCGTTTTGTAGAAAACTCGTCGCAAACAATTGCGACGATTGAGCTGATTCGTCGCAAATGCTCACGGAATTCTTTTATCTTCTTTAGTGCGACCATATATGCGACGAAATTTGTAAAGTCGCAATTCTTTTTATTTTTTGCGACTTTTTTTGTTTAAAACGTCGCAAATTTGCGACGAATCCATTTCAGTCGCAAAAAAAAAGTCGCCTGAATTGCATTTTGGCCTAGTGTGACGACATCAGGTGGTGCGGCTTATAAGGAGTCCATTGTGGAGGAGACCAAGGCTAGTTTCCGAGGTAGTGATGAGTGTGCTGCTATGATTGAGGAGCATGCATTGGCTGTGGTTTATAAGCCATTAGTGCGTGCTTGTCGCAAATATCTGCGTGATGCGGGTGGGATCAGCGAGGAAGTGATTCGTGGGATGGAAGCTGGCATATCCGATGAAGAGGAGGATGAGGTAGATGTCAATGGGACGGGCACAGAGCTTGTGAATGACATGGTTGCGGATGACTCCAATGTGGGTACGTCTTCCGCTCGCGGTAGGGGAGTTTAGACTTATTTGCTAGGATAGTTAACTTTCCCTTTTTTTTTTTTTTTGTTTTTTTTTTTTTTTTTTTTTTGCTATGGATTTCTTAGTTTGTTTTTATCGCTGATGTAGATGGGTATGTCCACTACTATTTCGTTTGAATTTCTTCCTTGTTTGACTTTGAAATTTAATATTTCGATTTATTTATTTTGACATTGTCAAGAATTAATGCGTTGCTTATATGTATTTACATTGGCATTATACGCGATGTACTTGAGGAGGGGATCAGCCTCCCAAGGTTTTTGGTAAGGGTCGTGCCCTTTGTTCGGACCGCTTCGGTCTTAAATATATTTGTCCGTGGCCACGTTTTAAAAGTAACACCTCGTGAAACAAATAAAGGGACTCAGATAATCCAGCTGGCCAGGCTATATGGATTATCTAAATCTCTCTAAGTGTTTATAGGGTGGTATTGAATTAGACTCATGCTGAGAGGTAATTTGTGTTGATGTGAAGGCACAAAGAGTAAAACGAAAATTGTGATTTATTCGATGATAGCAAAGGAGAATTGTTACAAGCCTATGTGAGGCGAATTTAAATAAATAGCTAATGCGATGGGCCTACACGAGACGAAGATAACTAACTACTGCTAAAGCAATAAATTGTCTTGATAAAAAAAAAAATTCTTCTGAGTGATTGTACTACACTTGTTCTTCTTCCACGTCTTCCTTGTACTCGTTCGTTTAGCTGTGCGGATGGTAGGCTGAATTCCTTTGGCGTCTCTATGCCTGTCAGGTATAATTGAGGAAAAAGGAATTTTGTGTAAGCATTTGTATCGAAGACTTAGTAATTGAAGCTGAGGTGATGTGCATTGCAAATTCACGTACCCTAACACGGGGATGGTTTTTCTTCCTCGCACTTCGAGATATGAATCAACTCGTGAGTTGCTGTGATTTGCTGTGTGATCGTGCCTGTTAAATGGAATGATTTTGTCACGTTAGTAAGAGTAAACAAGAGCATGCGTGTGTTGTAGTCTAGTGGAAGTATTGTTACCCTTGGCGATGTGGTATGGGGTGGCTTCGCTCTTTGGGCCATTGATTGCGCAATAGGCATCCTCTCGTAATTGACTCCCACTCTGCAATAAGATGGTGAGATGTGAATACGAATTGCTGATGTAAGTAAATTTACTAGCCCCTCAGTTTAGGTGGGACGTTCACGCACCTCATTATGTAGTAGAAAGTTTTCAAAGCATGTAGAGACGGTTTTGCGAGACGAGTGACGTGGAAGACCGCGGAGCCTGCACAGGTAATGTTTTGTAAGTAATTTTCATATAGGGGGGGGGGGGTATAGGTGGTGACTTCACCGGATCTTAATTTAGGTAGATATATACCTTAAGCGTAGAACTGTTTGAGGTTCCCCATATTCCACGTTCTGGGTATAGGGCGTCCGTCATTGGTCTCGAGGCGATATGCTCCAGTGTTGACCACTTTGGTGATTTTATATGGTCCTTCCCACTTTGGATCGAGTTTTCCAATGGGGTGAGAAGCTTCGACTTTTCGGAGGACTAAATCTCCAACTTGAAAGGATCGAGGGCGGACCTTTGAGTTATAGGCCTTGGCCATGCGTGATTTATACATCTGTTGTCGGATGTATGCAATCTCACGTAGCTCATCTATGAGGTCTAGGCTTCCCCGCATAGCTTCTTCATTAGCTGCTGGATCATAGTTGGTGATTTGCCAAGATGGTTCTCCGATCTCGACGGGTGCGATAGCCTCTGTTCCGAAAGCTAGATTGAATGGCGACTCTCCGGTTACTGCTCGTGGGGTTGTGCGATAAGCCCATAGCGCGTTAGGCAGTTCTTCCACCCACTTCCCTTTGGCACTTCCAAGCCTTGTTTAAGGTGTTGGAGTTGGTGCGATTCGGAC